ATGAGACGAAATAGAATAAGATAAGACAAGATAAGATAAGATAAGATAAGATAAGATAAGATAAGATAAGATAGATAAGATAAGGAGAGGAACATCAACACTGAAAATAAGAGTTAACTTGAGTTACACAATGACATTTTACAACATATTCTTGGAACCTGATTAGGTCACAGGGATCCCCAGGGATTTTCATCAGCACTAGGATCGGGCACAGAGTTAGATCTATACATGTATTAACTCGCCAAACAAAAAAGATTGGAACGGCTGCCGTTTGCACGGTAGTCTACTGTCCCATTAACAGATCGATAGGCTTACAAGCGACTGCACACTCATACACACACACACACGCACACACAAACACACATATACACACAAGCACACACACCATACACACGAGGGCAAGAGAGATAGAGAGAGAGAGAGAGAGAGAGAGAGAGAGAGAGAGAGAGAGAGAGAGAAGGCAAAGAGAAACGTCTGCAGTCTGCAGTAAACTTGTAACAGTGACGTACTTTGTAGCCGTGCGTCTGCTCGCGCCCCGGCCGTAAATCGTGACGGGTCCAACAAATCTGCCAGATGGGAGTCATACCTAGATCAGGAAGACAGAGGACAAACATAAGTTTTACACAAAAACACCAGTACTAGATAGTTTAGTTTAGTTTTACTTACTTACTTACTACCCATTATGCCATTTGGCGTTTAGGGCAGCAACAAAGGATCTCCAGCTCTGTCTGTTTTGGGCCATCTTGGTCAGCGTCCACCACGAATGGTTCCATGATTTCATTTCAGACTCTGCTGCGCATTTCCAGGTCACTTTGGGTCTGCCCCTTTTGCAACGTCCTTCGGGTGTCCAGTGGAGGGCAGTCTTCACAACAGAGTCTGGTTCTCTTCTCAGAACATATCCAATCCATCTCCATCTTTCTTCTCTTTTTTATTATGGTGGTACTAGATAGTATAGTTTAGTTTTAGTCAGAGTTTTTTAGTTTTAGTAGATGTTTTACTGTGCTCGCAACTGCATAAAAGGTCATATGAGCGCCAGAGGATTAGAGGAGTTACAAGAGAGTAACAAACACAAAAAAAGAAGAGGAGATAAGGACGAAGATGTGTGATAGGAAAGAAGGAGCACACCACACCAGAGCACCCGTCAACCACCCACAGTAAGAGTTTTACGGCACTTGCAACACAATAAGATCTATTAAGAGCCAAAGATTAGAGACATTCCGTTACAAGAGAGTAACAAACACAAAAAAGAAGGAGGGGAGATAAGGATGACAGAGATGTTTGATAGGAAAGAAGAACCAAACACCACACCAGAGCACCCGCCAACCACCCACCCAGAGACCTGCTGTAGGCCTACATACCTGGAGAAAATCCACTGCAGCACCTTGAGTCGGCCTTCACCAGGACTGGTGAGCAGATCTGCCACAGCCGCCACATCAAGGTCGCCTGTGTATGGACAGCCAAGCGACTGAGGAGAAGAGCAGTTGTAAGTAAAGTCATCATCATCATTGCCTTTCTCACCCTGCACCAGGGTATAGGCCACGGACAAGCACCCTCCACTTCTCTCTATCCTGGGCTAGCCTCTTGATGTTATTCCATGTCTTCCCACTTTTCTGTACATCGAGTATAAAAAAGTAAAGGAGTACAGTAAAAAAAAAAAAAAAAAAAGAATTTCAGACAGGAGTGTAACTGTAACAGATACCAGATACTTGATATATTGCGTTGTAGCCTAGATGTATTTTGGCACTAAAATCGTTGTGCTTCTGAGCAGAGAGACTTAATAGAGTCTAGATCTACGGCCTACTACTGCATAAATTTTATAAAATTCGTGAAAATATATTCACAATTACATAACATACAAAGTTGTAAGTGAAGGAATTACTTCTTACTTAGTGAATTGCGTGTCTGAGATAAATAAAAGATAAAGACAATATATCTAAAGGTGCAAAAAATACAGCTTTCTCGCATCGACGCAGACAATCTTTCGTGAGAACCTCCATCGACAATTTTTGCAGAGCTAATCATTGTCAAGATTACTTTTCATTCACCTCACACTTGTCCAGAAAATTTCACAATTTAGCAATAATGCCAACTTCAGACTTCAGGGCGCCTAACGAAAAAATTTTTACACCCAAAAAGTTGCAATGTCCACTCCTTTTAAATGGCGAGTCTCAAATTGCATGCTTTGAGCGTATTTAAGTACGGCTAGACTGAGAGTCTTTTTAAGGGAGTGTATACAGACCCGGTAACCGGGAACAAAGTCACGAAGTATACAGACCCGGTAGGGAAACTCGTTTGTGATTTCGGAAAGTTTCAGCGCTCTCTTGGCTCTGAGTAGAACTAGGTTCTTCTCTCCTTGGTTTGTTCTAGATCTATGGCCTAGGTCTAGATCTAAACAGACAGATATAAATCATTGATCTAGTTTCGAAGCTAGCCTAGATCTAGATCTAAATCTAAATGAAGCTTGCGGATGTCATTTCAATGAACGATCGTTTTTCCCCCGTTTTGGAGTTGGAGGAATCACAATTTGAAGAAAAGAACAATGTTATAATTTCAATCGAGCAGTCTCTCTCTCTCTCTCTCTCTCTCTCCTCTGTCTCTGTGTATCGCTCACATTCTCCCTTTCTTTGTTTGTCTCTCTGTCTTTCTTTCTCCCCACCTATTTCCCACTCTATCCTTCTCTCGTTCCCTCCTGCCAACTGGGGCATGTCATATACATTTTGCTAGCACTTCCCCCTGCTCTCTCTCTCCTCTCTCTAACTCACACACACACACACTACCGGGTGTGGGCGCTGAAACTTTCCGAAATCACAAAAGAGTTCCCCAATCGGGTCTGTATACAGTCTAATCTGCCCTGACAGCCACCTCTATAAGACTGTACAAACGGCCACTTTCCATTCCCCCCCCCCCCTTGCGTTTTTCTTATATACTTAACTGTGTAAAACGGGCACCTGTCCAACGCGGCCGCGGCCACCATATTTTAACACACAACCCCTACTATTACACTGAGCAATAACACCTGTCTTAGACGGCCACCTTAGTGCCTTAGTGACTCCATTACGTTTTGCCATAAATTGTGCACTGGCCCCTGGCGTTGTCTGTGAGCCGTCATAATCCAATCACCTGTCGTTTTTGCAGGTAGTCCCTCCAACTGATCATGTTGCGTTGGCCCCTCCCATTGTTGACCAATAGGTGCCAATTCTTTAGCTCCTGGTGAAGTAAACATCCGATCCCTCATAACCCATAAGCCCCACCCAGAACTCATACACAAATCGTACGTGAGACGAGTGGTCACTGTTTACCCAGTCTGTAACAAAGTAACAATGGACGTCAATGTAAACTTGCGACAGAAGCGTCACTCGTTCTCAGAGTGGTGGCGACCCATATGTTTTTGCTTTAACACGGCACTCGATCTTCCTTCGTCTGATACATTTCGTTTTATTGTCACTCTTGCGCAAAATCAGCAACAAAATAAAAATAAACAAAATACAAACCAACAACAACAAAAACAACAGAAACAAGAACAATGTGGCTACTTTCAATTGGGACTCCAGATCATAGATGGGAATGGTTTGTTTTCTTCATCTTGATCAGTCCTGCCTAAGACGGCCACCTGTCTTTTACGGCCACTTTTCTCCTTGACAATGGGTGGCCGTCTTACACAGGTTTGACTGTACTTCGTGACTTTGTTCCCAGTTACCGGGTCTGTATACACTTCGTTTTTTTAAATGGTCAGTCTGGCCATGCATCATATTAAGTTATTCATTAAGAATAAAGAATTATAAGTACGGCAAGACTGCCAGTCTAGCCGTACTTAATAAATGTTGTAGAAGAGTAGAATCGAGATTCTAGAATCTAATCTAGATCTAGATCTAGATATTCTAGATCTAAATCTACTTTAGATATAGATCTAAATCTATCTAAACTTACTGTTAAAAAAGTTGGCCCAGTCAAAGCGGGGACAAAGCCGACCCTCGTCACCGTGGCCCCAACATGATAAGGCCAGGCGCTCAGCCACGACACACACCCCCCCCCCCCCCCCCCCAAAACGCCCCCCTTTAAAAACGCCCAGTTTCCCTCCCCCCCCCCCCCCTTGCGTTTTTCTTATATACTTAACTGTGTAAAACGGGCACCTGTCCAACGCGGCCGCGGCCACCATATTTTAACACACAACCCCTACTATTACACTGAGCAATAACACCTGTCTTAGACGGCCACCTTAGTGCCTTAGTGACTCCATTACGTTTTGCCATAAATTGTGCACTGGCCCCTGGCGTTGTCTGTGAGCCGTCATAATCCAATCACCTGTCGTTTTTGCAGGTAGTCCCTCCAACTGATCATGTTGCGTTGGCCCCTCCCATTGTTGACCAATAGGTGCCAATTCTTTAGCTCCTGGTGAAGTAAACATCCGATCCCTCATAACCCATAAGCCCCACCCAGAACTCATACACAAATCGTACGTGAGACGAGTGGTCACTGTTTACCCAGTCTGTAACAAAGTAACAATGGACGTCAATGTAAACTTGCGACAGAAGCGTCACTCGTTCTCAGAGTGGTGGCGACCCATATGTTTTTGCTTTAACACGGCACTCGATCTTCCTTCGTCTGATACATTTCGTTTTATTGTCACTCTTGCGCAAAATCAGCAACAAAATAAAAATAAACAAAATACAAACCAACAACAACAAAAACAACAGAAACAAGAACAATGTGGCTACTTTCAATTGGGACTCCAGATCATAGATGGGAATGGTTTGTTTTCTTCATCTTGATCAGTCCTGCCTAAGACGGCCACCTGTCTTTTACGGCCACTTTTCTCCTTGACAATGGGTGGCCGTCTTACACAGGTTTGACTGTACTTCGTGACTTTGTTCCCAGTTACCGGGTCTGTATACACTTCGTTTTTTTAAATGGTCAGTCTGGCCATGCATCATATTAAGTTATTCATTAAGAATAAAGAATTATAAGTACGGCAAGACTGCCAGTCTAGCCGTACTTAATAAATGTTGTAGAAGAGTAGAATCGAGATTCTAGAATCTAATCTAGATCTAGATCTAGATAGACTAGATCTAAATCTACTTTAGATATAGATCTAAATCTATCTAAACTTACTTTTAAAAAAGTTGGCCCAGTCAAAGCGGGGACAAAGCCGACCCTCGTCACCGTGGCCCCAACATGATAAGGCCAGGCGCTCAGCCACGACACACACCCCCCCCCCCCCCCCCGCAACTAAAATTCTGCTGCTGGTGCGCCGTGAACAATAATATAATAACAAACCAAAGCAAAGTCTAAGCCTGTTGACGATGATGTTTCATTTGGTTGTTGTTGTTGTTGTTGTTGAGTTAGTACAGTACTGTACTGTGCTCTTCTGCTTCTGGAGCATTAAGTTAGAATGAATTATAAAAGAAATAGATCTAGATCTAGAATCTAGGCCTATGCCTCTCGGTACTATAAGCATCATGTTAAAAAGTGTGATTCATAATTTCTCCTCCATAACTTCCCCGCATAAAGAGAACGAAAACTCACATCAAGTCTTCTCTTCAGGGAAGTCCTCCAGTCTTCGTCTTTCAATCTCGCCGCCATCCTGATTAAAATTTGGAATGGCTGTTACCTGGCCATCCAAAACATGCACGCACAACTCATACTTGCCAGTTTGCTTGCGCAGTAGTCAAAACATACTAACTTTAGAAGGGAAACCAGGTTAACACAAAAATTATAATTGTAGCAAGGTTTACTCAACTAGTCAAAATGCCCAAAGAAAACTTGGAGACACAGACACAGCTTTATATAGACCCCAGACCCTTTGTTCCCAGAAGCCCTGAATCTCAAGACAATGTGAGAACTGCTCATGGAGTGTTTACACTGAAAGGGAATCAACTGGTAATATGATGTACAAGCAACAGTGGTGGATTATGGATTATGTCCCATATCATTACAACAATAAACCACTTTATGAGAGTAGTCGTAGTCCAAAAACACTGTTTTGCATACAGGATGCTGGTCGCAAAATATGTTCATAAAATACCAAATAGATTTACAGGGTCTAAATTGTTTTATTATCCTAGGTCTCAAAGAACTTTAGTTATTTTACATGAGTTGTGTTGAGCGCCTGACAGGCTGCTCCATAATCTCTCTCGATTATAACAGTTT